GAATGGTGTTCATTTTCGAACTAGCCTGGATCTTATCAAAACCCTAAGTGGGAATCGAATTCGAGTAGTATTGCCCTCTCGTTCCATACGCTACGACCCCGCAACACCGCTATAAGTGCCTCTGGCTCACTGAGCAGACCTTACTTTCCCTGAAGACTTCTCTCCACATCATATTTATACGGATGTTGTCGATGAGTCATGCTTGAATATTTGCTCTTACCTTATATTACTTATACAAATTAGATGTCAAAACTATCAGTAAATTGCAATCTATAGCTGTATACTCATTTTTTACTGTATGCCATTAGCTTCCACTGCTAGGTCGTTTCCGGTAATCTGATGTCTTACTTACTTTTATCTTAATGAAATGAAGTATAAAGTAATTTAATGCGAAAATATACTTGACTTGAAAAATGCTTTCTCCTTTATGTTGAACGTCAGCCTGTCATTACTTGCGATTCATCAGCACCTCTCAGTCGAAGTATATTTCCTTACTAATACTGATGGGCCTGTTCCATTCATTCTATTTTCATTCTTTTAATATCTATTCTGTAATCTCGAGATGAATACTCTAGAGAAATTACAGAGGTGATACTAAGTATGTAGTCAATATTTATATTTCCCAACCTAGCTATTAAAATAATCTACTTTTCTTTTAATGGAACTTGGAGTAAATTTGGATGTGGATCCAGTCTGCCGCCGATTTTGGCAAACACTATTAGGGTTAATTAGATGATCACCTAATTTTCGTTCTGCACCCTATATGGATGATTAATTTGCCAAGTACATCCAGAGAAAAATTAGTCCAGATTATCTCCAGCCAAAAAGACTGAAACGGAGGTCGATTTTGAGTACAGCTTGTAACTAGGGGGAAATGATCAAATCCTTTTATTGGATGTTCTGATCACAAGGGATAGGATAGGCTGGATATAATAGGGATCAAATATGGAGGAAATACATCCAGAGTATTCTTTAAATACGTTTTTCAGTTCCAAAAGTAAGCTTAGTATGATCGACTCATTGATGACGAGGAGTTTCTGCTTTCTCGGAAAAGCTATTGAATGAAAAACGACTATTTTTAAAGCTCAAAGTTTGGTGATACCGATAAACACAAAGATTGTAGAAGAACGTGCTAAATGAATTTGAGGTAAGGTATGATGACTGGTCTTACAGAATATTGGACTTGGTAAGACATCTACTAAATATTCGAAGCAATTGCTCCTAAGCCCTAATTAAACTTCTTTGCTTTCTATGCTTTCATTCATGTTTTAGCTACGAGGAAGTTGCACGCAGCCAAACCAGCCTAATCAGCACTTTTCCTGCTAAGGTTGCCGACTGCTTGGAAGGTTACGCTGCCAAATTAATGCTCCATTTTGGTCTTCAGCGTATTGATTTGGTTGGCGAAGGCATAATACCATCAGCATTTACCTTCGCTTCTGTTCTTCCTCCAAGTTTTGCTTCTTTTGCGGATAATGAATTGGAAGAAGCATGTAAGCGGTTGGATCTCCGGCCAAGTGAAAAAAGAGAAATGTGTATGGGAGAAAAAGAAAAGACGGACCGATTAAGCCTAGTGTGCATGCAAAAGGAAAAAATTCAGGTTAGAATTTGATTGGGTTTATGCAAAAAAATCTCCGAGACAGCAGTGTATCAACCAAAATACCTAGTAATTGGATGCACGCATAGCCAACTTTAAGTAGGTTCTATTATTTTTCGTAGGTATGGAGATCAAGGTGTTGCGGCCTCTATTCCAGACGCAGTATCCTTTAGTTGTTTTGATATCGTTTGACCTCGTTTTATCAATTTGGTAATTTAGTCAGAGCTAGCCAGTTGGGTGCACTTTGCCCAAAGTCCTGTGCTGTAGTATTTATGATGATTATCAGCGTCGAACCGTGAACTTGGTATAATCGCAGACGTTTCGCCGGTATTTTCAATGATTCTTGCCATGCTCAGCTACAACTCGTCAAAAAACTTGGTCTCGATAATAGCAAAACTCATTGCTGATGCCGGCGAAACGTTTATTATTTTTCGTTTTATAACTAGGCTTTTGAGATTAACAGTTGATAATGTATATAAGATATATTCACCCTATTTCGTTGAGGTGATGAAGGACTGGTTGCCAAATTTTCCCACAATGATATGAATAGGCCTTAAGTTTCCATTAAATTTCACATAGCCTTTCTTCCTAATAGGTATTCTTCTCCAGGCTGGACTACTATTTCGGCCTCGTTTAGGTCTCATCAGTACACCCAGCTGGACTCAAACCGTAATAATTCTGATAATACCTAGGCGAGATCGAACCTGCAGTTCACCCTGGATGAGATTACCTTTTAAGATGCAGGCCTTAATGAAATTAAATGGAAGCCCGAGGCCTAATCACATCCTCGTAACGTCCCTTCGCTATCACAATTTCTTACTTGCTTGACTGAACATAGTTGGGGTGTGCCATTTTTAGCGGATTTAGTAATACTTATATACACTACCCGCTGGTTCCCTCATCTCCCTATTGTGCTAGGGGTGTTGGTCCAAGACTGCACTTAGTCCGCGATCCCCTTTCTCCAAGTCCAGTCCAAGTATACCTTTCACTTGAGGCACTATTTCCTAAGCCTTCAGTAGCACGTACACTGTCACCTCACTGAGCAGAGCGCCTAGGCTCTGATTCCCATGCTTGCAGATATAAGGTATTGTCTTCACGGGTCACTTTGATTCAGCCTGTGTACGTTGAGAAAACTGTAGACGCCTATCTCTGGTCCCCTACCGCCTCTTGAGTGGATTTCTAGTTAATTTTATCCATAATGCCGAATTTATGTGATGGTTGTGATTATCCGTCTCCTTAGTCCTGTGACCCCCATGCCCCCAAAGTTGTAGTTGTTTCTTCGAGCAGATTGCGCTCACTGAAAATGT